CCTATGGGCGGCGGTGGTCTACCCATAGAAAGGTAACATCCCTATACTTACCCGTGCTGTCGATACCAACTAGTACTTATAGCCATATTATCGGGGGCAAGATGTAGATACTATCAACCGACATTGTCTGCCTGACCCACAGCTATCACCACGGCGTATCTTTCTCCACCTATGGGGAGATCGGTGTCGAAGGCCTTAGGTACCTACTTTGAATGGTCAGACACCACCCGTCAATGGGCCGTCTACGAGGGCTTCCTAGCGTTCAATATGGTTAATACCCATGGCCAACATAAGGAACCAAAGCAGCAAGGCCAATAGTTCCTGTTGTATTCGTCGTTGGAGATTCTGCGTGATGCTACCTCTTTGATCACCAAACCATGACGATTCTTCAAGTTGTTTCTTGAGTACCCCTGAAACTAGGGACAGCTACGATTGCTATCGGCCTACTTGTATCATAGGTTCGGGCTAACTAGGTCCAACGTCAAGGGAAATCAAATCACAGTCGACGGCACGTACTGTTACTTTGAACCGAAGCATGCGATGTAGCATGCATACCTCCTGACCACGTGGGAGATAGGAACCGACGGTCATATAGGTACGAACTTGCATAATACCTACATATAGTACTTGACTTGCATATCCGGTGGGCTATAGTCGAGGCTTTCGTCGATCAGTTCCGAATGTGAAATAGAGACATGCCGGTTGAATCACACCAGATCCTCCTGGATTAAGGTGGGAGTGTGTTGTTTTCGGCTCTATGCTGTCGTCGACATTGACAATGCAACGACCTAGACGAGATATGACACATAAGAGTTCTATTGTAACATACCTAGGTATCTTTATACCTCGCAAACAGTTCTAGGAAGTTTACGAGGGAGATCGATAAACCACGTGTTGACGTAGCCGAAAATGTTATTACCTACCTACCTACCTACCTACCTACCTACCTTCGAAGTGCCTATCTACCCACCAGCTCCATAAAGGAGACCTGCACTCAAAAAGGGGTTCTCAACCCACCTCACAAATAACGGTAATGTCATCTATGCATATACGAACCTTGAAAACAACTAGATTTAAAAACACTCCTCGATTCGTAGCAACATATCTCTAAGAGAGTACGTCAAAATAGGTACGCAGCCTATCAACCCCATGGTCCTAGACTAAGCCCCCCCCTGTAACTCAAGAATAGATTGCAATGTTTCTCATAAATATACATGGGGAGGCCACGTGGGAAAAACGTGGACTTGCTAAATTTGGGGTCGTTTTAATATGGGATTTGAGTGAAAGCCCCTGAAACGGGCAAATCGGCTTGTTCATCTTTGATGAAAAATTCTCAGGGTGATATCACAAATCCCTCCTCGCGACATCGTCCCGTCCCTCGAATTAACGACCTGCCATGCCAAGAATGCGGGTGCATATATTCCACGTGGAAGCCATGTGGCTTTGGAGACCCGGCTGAAAGGAAGCTTTTGGAACATAACCCCCATGAGCTCGGAGCTCACACTCCGTTGGAGAGTAACGTAATGGCAGACTTGCCTGATGGGGGTAATTCATGTGCATATATTGAAATCCTGCGCGTCTGCATACTGTCCTCATTTAACCGCTCTTGGCAGGGACTCAAACGCATCGCGACGTCGATGGCTGTGAGTCGTAAACTTCTATAAAAGCCAGGCGTAGATCGACGATGAGATCGAGGCACATCAGCTCATCAACACTCAAACATCCTCTTACACCTTACCTTATTCATTTTTCAACACCATCACAATGCTGTGCACCAAGCTCACCGTCCTTGCTGCCCTCCTGGGCGCATCGGCCGCTCAGAACGCCACGCTGCGGTACATGCCATTTGGTGACTCTATCACAGAAATCATATGCTGGCGAGCCAAGCTCTGGGAGAAGCTGAAGCCGACCGAGTGGGGATCCGTCGACTGGGTCGGCTCCGGCAAGGGCGAGAACAACTGCCAGGACACGACGTACGACCGCGACAACGAGGGGCACTCGGGGTTCCTGGCCATCGACATCGCCAACCGGCAGCAGCTCGTCGGCTGGCTGGAGCAAGCACCCGCGGACGTCATCACGATGCACCTGGGCACCAACGACATCGTGCAGCAGAACAAGCCCGTCAATGACATCATCGCCGCCTTCACGACGTTGATTGGCGTTATGCGGGATAGTAATCCCAACACCAAGATCATCGTAAGCATCCGTCCATTGCCGATTTCTTCATCTCCGGTGAACGTGCGTGTTAATCTGTCCTGCTAATATTAGGTGGCGCAAATCATCCCCATGGGTTTTGGAAGCTATAATACCCAGATCCAGAGCCTGAACGCGGCTATCGTCCCCTGGGCCGAGGGTCTTAACACGACTGAGTCGCCCATCTGGGTGGTGGACCAGTACACCGGCTTCAGCGGGACTAGTGACCTGCGCGATGGCGTTCACCCCAACGCCTCAGGTGATGACAAGATGGTTAATGTCTGGTATCCGGCGCTTGTCAACGCATTCCAGGTGGCTCAGGCGGAAAAGCTGGCTGCGGCTGCGGCTGCTGAGTAAGTGGAGATTCCGTTTACTGCGTAAACAGGATTCCGGTGAATCTTCAGTTGGTGATGGTATGCGCAGTGGCATATGAAATTGTTCTTCGACTGTATATATTGATCATTGTTACACCGAGAGATGAATACTCAATCCTAGTCGAAATCCGATATAGTGTCTCTTCTAACTCGCAATCATGATTGATTGTAGAAGAAATTTCTATGCAGCTGCTTGAAGATGGCGCAGTTTGCTATTTGTTGGTTGGGATTGGCCTGGAATTTGCGGTGTTGCTGGAAGATAACGAGGCAGGATGCAAGCCGGGTTATTCCCAAATTCCGTAATTAAGAAGAGAGGGCTGACATGCTTGGTCGGTCTAAGAAACACATTCCTTGCGAGCGTTGGCCCAATGAACCTAGATCTAACCTTACTAGGTAGGAGGTAGTCACTGAGATAGTTTTCTTAAGTTTGCTGATATTAGTTAGAGGTGAACTTTGAAGATGAACATGCATCCCAAACTTTAGAGGACAGGAAAAGTGGACGGTGCCGAGCACCCGGTTTAAGATAAGGCCAAGATTCGCTGGCCCTGCATAACCCCTGTTTGGTTCAACGCCGTTGGCTCTAGAGCCGAACAACGCAGTAATAAGGTTGGCGGTAGGGATGACAAGTCCAACTAAAAAAAAAGGCATTACAGCGGGGATAGCGGGAACTTTGTTAGGCACAGGGCGTTTTTCAAACGTGACGAGACCCTAGACTTAGAACCCCTGAGCTGCTGACAAGACTTGAAGGAAGAAAGAATGTCCATGTCTTCTTCTTTTCCAACGCGCCCCAGGGCAACAATTGCGTGAGAGCAGTAAATCACACAAAACACTAAACACTAAACACTATTCTCGAAGCAGATGGAACTCTCGTTAAAATGATTCTACACTCGCGCCTATCCGCGCTTCGCTCGCGCTGGAATCAGCTACCTAATCTTCACAAAGTCATTTCTGTATCTGTGTTGGTGCTTTTTCTGATAGGTAAGCCGAGCCTGCATTCTCCCTAAAAACACTGGCGCTGTGGTGCGCGCGCGAGAAAGGAGGCTGACAGAGAAACAATCATCACAGTAATATTTATTCAACCTACTCCAGACGTTGCTCGAGACCAATGGAATCGATTGACGCATTCTGATACTGGCCCTTTGGCGGGTGGAATACCCCTCCGAGTCATGTTCATAGGCGCTTCGATGACACTGGGCGAGCACTCGACTGGCGAGCTGGGCTATCGGAAGCAGATTCGGGACTGGATGGTGGCTAGAGGCAACCCAGTCAACTACGTTGGTCAGGTATATATATATATATATATATATACTATCTCCTTCCAATATGTTTAATTGGTAATATGCTGACTTTAGCGTCTCCAGAACCGATTCGGCGACTTCAAAGACAATGACGTCCAAGCCTTCGGTGCCCAGCCCATCAAGCCGACCCTCGATCGCCTCAAGGAGGTCGTGCCCCAAGTCCAACCGAACCTGATCCTAATCAACGCGGGATCGAGCGATTGTTTCCAGCTGGACCACTGGGGGCCGGCGTACGTCCTGCAGAGCATGCGCGATCTCGTCGATTACCTATTCGAGACGTCGCCGCGCGCCACGATTATCATGTCGACCATCATAACAAGCCCGTGGGAGGGAACAGAGAAATGTGTCAAGAGTTCGAACGCGCAGATCCGTCAGGTCGCTATCGATCTTATCCGTGAGGGCAGGCCCGTGACGATGGCAGAGATGCATATGGATCAGGGTCTGCCGAACCGCGTCGAGCGGGCGGATATTGGTCCTGACGACATGCACCCTACCGACAAGGGCTACTTCAAGATGGGTGACATATTCATCGAAAAGATCATCGAGGTCGAGAATAACGGCTGGCTGCAGGCTCCAGTCGAGAACGGCGTGCCGGCGGACGGTGACGCTGCTCGAGATGCCGAGGAAGCCATCAAAGCCCAGGAAGAGCAATTGAAGGACAAGCAAGACGAGGCAGGAAAGGTCCTTCCCGGTAGAAGGAAGCTCCGGAAACTGTGAATGGGAAATGACGTTTAATAGTTGGCGCGGTGTCGCTTAAATATCGATTCAAGCATTCGGGCATTGTAGCATTAGCATGTCGCTGGGTTTCACTCGGTTAAAGAGAAAGGCAACCCGATCGGCACAGATGATTTAGACATTTTTCGGTCCAATCGAATATTCTAATGACGAGACGAGGTAGCTTCATCATAGTATGATCTGGTATGATCTGACTTACTAACCTAGACGATTCAATTTCGTCGCTATCATACTCTGAAACAGCACCTGATCAGCGACAGCGCTAACGAACCAGGGAAGCTCGAAAAATTACTGTTACTGACATGGCGAGATTGAAACCAGTTTCTCTGATAGGGGAAAGGGAGACAAGAAAGGAAGGAAAGGATTTTGGTCCCGGGTTTACTGGGAGCCGTGAGAATTGAGCTCATCGGCGGGGGTCGAACCTAAGCTAGGATGTCAATTGAGATGTCGTCAAATATCTATTGCGTCGATGATAATAAACTTATCCGCAGCATTGAGATTAAGAGTCTCACGCTCTACCGATTGTGCTACGCAAGCTTTCTGGTAGTGGTGTTGACGATGGAGTCGTAATTCGCTATTGTGTAAAGACCGTCGTTAGGATGGGCTCGTGAACTCACCAAGGGCTCGCGCCCTAACGACTTTTTCTCGCAGGGTTGGGTAAATTATCAAAATATTTCATCGTATTCCTGTAACTGCGAAGAAGGTTGAAGGGAACTTGACGATGCTACTAATTTCGAGCGAGAGGACTAAGGCGATGATGGCCTCTATTTCACTCCTAAATTCCCTCGCGAAGCATTTTAGTCTCGTGTATAAGCTCTCAATCATTTTAGTTCACTGTATTATCTATGCAGCTCTTCTTTCTAAGGCAGTAGAAGAAGCTAATCGTTATTTAAATTCATGCTGCTTGTCCAATAGGCTGGATCAAAGTGTAACTAGTCGACGTGTTGAACTCCTGCACACCATTAATCAGGTAGAGTGGTGTGACTAGACCATCATCGCTAAAGTAAAGTCGCGGTCTCTCTCGCCGATAGTAATCCGTCCTTCCGCCGTCCGTGAAGTATACCGTTGTATTGTAAGCTGCCTGGAGCTTGAACGTCCAGTTCCCCGTCAGCTCGCGCGAGAACAGATGTCCTCCCACTCGTGGGTACTTCTCGCCTCTTTCGGCGATATCGATCATCCAGTGGCAGAGGATATGCCAGTTTCCCCTCTTGTCTCGCCAGAGAAACGGATCTTCCGTCCAGTGGTCGCTGTAGTCGGATGTGTTCCACGGCATCGACTTGATGAGATCGTACGAGCTGCTGAAGTTGTTGGCGTGGTAGATGAAGTTGTCTTCTACACCAAGTATGACCTCAGATGTATGGTTGTCCTCCGTCCATAATGGCCACGGGGTGGGGTTGGTTCCGTCGAGGAGATATTTCGACGGTTCCCATGGCCCTCGGATATCAGGGGCGCTGGAGACCGAGATGTTATCTGCCCACTTGTATGACCTGCACGTATCTGGCGTTTCGGTCTCTATCCCGATTGTGTACATGAGATATTTCTGGTCTGCTGGACTCCATATTACTTTGACATTATGATGAAACGTTCCCATTAGTTCGTCCGCATAGTGATAAGGCCCAGCAGGTCCAGTTCGCGATTCGGCGCGGACTACAGTGCTGAACGGCCTCCAACCAGACAGCCCACAGCCATGAGCGAACTGGTCGATGATTAGATGGAAGAGGTCTTTATCGTTTCGGTCTTGAATGATATTTCCGCCCCAAGATGAGTTGCCCCTTGTACTATAGAAATCTGGCTGAGTGAAGTTGGTATAATTGTACCCAGTCCACCGAGTCGCAGGCTGGAGGTCGAGTTCGCCGCAATCATCCGCCTTCCATCCTGGATCGCAGTCGCATTTTCCTGGCGAGAGGTTACAGATACCGTTTAGACTGCAATCATCATCTGTTGTACATCCTTGAGTGATAACCGATAGTACGGCTAGGACTAAGAGGATCGGGAGAAAAAGTCGAGAGAGCATATCTTTGGATCACTGCAATGTGACATCCCATGTAGGATTGATTGGGATGTGGGGAGGTGAGGTGGGAAAATCGGAACTGGAGTAGATTCAAGGGTAGCATCGCCTAATATCCAGAATCACTTGGAGACGTATCTCAAGTCATTAAATTCCATAGAATTTGACATGTTTGAAATAGTGCTTAATATATCCATTTTGTAGTGTTTTTCTCTCTTGGACTAACTTCACAGACGTTTATCGCATTCTTATTCGCTATGACTGGGGTGTCATTTGTTGTGAATAGAGGGACAGTATCTACACATACATCTACCTCTCAATCTATGCATAAAGTTTGAAGTTTAGATAGATATAAGGTATGGAGCCAGTGAAATAGATGGGAAGGATAGATACAGTACATTATCTAAGGTAAGGTGGGTTTTGTCATACCTATAGTTGTGTTGTAAACAGGGAATGTTAGTCCCAGCGATGACGAGGTGTAAGTAAGGCCCATTTAACACCCTATTTATCGTGGCACTGAGTCTAAGAATGAGAAAAAGGACTAACCGATATAAAAAAAAATACATACAACACTAGGTATTCGCCGATTGTCACCAACCCGACTACTAATCTAGCCCTCATTGGCTTGTCTCCGTGGGAGAGCGGACGGGATCCCGAATTTTCCAGTGGGTATGGTCGTATGTGAAGGAAATCTGTTTATGTGGTCTTATATAAGAGTCCTTGTTGTCGAAGTCTTGAAGGTCAAGTTAGTCGACCACTCATACTGTGGTTGGGTGGCCACACAGAGTTCAACGCCTGACTTTCGATCAACACCAAAGACAGAAAGCGGGTTTAAAAGTGTAATGATCGGCATCTTATACACGGGAGGAACCATCGTCCCCGTGGGGGAGTCTGTGCATAGCTTCTTCCAGCCCTAAGATGGTATTTTTGTAATGTCACCGCATATGAAGTTCCACATGGGTATCCCAGAGAACCGCATCAGTCGTTGTATCAATTTCAATACACCCAGAAGTACGGCATAGATGGACTATGTACGAAAGTGCAGCCTGAATCATATTTCCTCAATGACTTTGAGCTGGCCGAGACGCAGAGATGGTCAGTTGGTCTGACGAACGCATAAATAGGGGGAATACCTTACATCATAACCTGTAAGATGAATTCCCCATTTTATGTGGATTCAAGTAAAGTACTATTATGAGGTAGTTCATAAGATATGTACCTAGTATGTAGGGGATGGAGCTATGCAGGTATGTGCACAGGAGTATCGCGAATCGATGAAGCGTCTTTATCCAAGACGATAGTCGCTATTCTTTCTACATAGTAAATATTAACAAACACCAAACTGATTTACAAGGCAGCTCGATTGATGGTCTCTAAAGAAGCAGTGGCATAGGCTCATCGTGAATTTGATGCTGGCCGCTACCGCAGAGGGTGAACGACTGGGCCAACATAATCATTCAATTCATCAGACAGACGCGCTCCGGGACGGTCCGGGACATCATACTCATCCACACTTGAAATTGTAAACCGACGTTTGGGTTCGTTTAATGACGAGCAGGAAAGATCCAGAGCGCTCGATTGATGGTAACCGGAGAACCTGAATCTATGGGAGATTGGTAGTGCACATGCAAAACATGTGCCTCTTCGACATACTCGTCGCAACGCGTTCTAGCAAACTCGTAGTACCTATGCAGAACACTATCATCGTATTGTATAACGTTTTCATCTACGTCGGGATCGTGCGCCAATTTTTGAAAGTTAACGCAGTGCGGTACCTCAGACATCCGCTAACACTGTCCTGATATCGTCAGTTTTCTCGGCGCGCTCTAGTTAGAGCTAAAAATACATCAACTCGAGATCGTGACAGCGGCGTAAATCTTCATCTGCGCGCCCAAGCAGACCAAACCATGGGAATTGCTGTAATTATTAATAAACCACACCAAAAACACGGTTCAGCAAGGACACACAGCGGGGGATCGACTGCGGCACGGAGATTTTATGAGACTTTCGACTAAGCGCTGGGAGCACCGGTAAAAATACGTAAGGTAGTTGAAGATCTGTGGATGAGCTGTCCAACAAACAACCAGGTCGACTCGGGCGTTTTCAATAGACATGCAGAATTGAGATGCGACAACGAGTAAAGCAATATGAGGCTCGAAAAGAATTGAGACTGACTGACACTGCAGCTCGTAAATATTAAATTGCTACATGCAGGAGAGCAAAAAACCAGTGAAATTAAAAATAAAATAATGAGCTACGTGGCAGAAGTGGATCAAAAAGGAGGTGGTGTTAATAAAGTGAGGGTGAGGTATTTGTAGGGGCGACCTCGTTCTGCTTGTCTGGTCGCGAGGAAAAAAATAAAAAGCCCAACCCCACACAAGACGGATCCCCACAATTCCCCTCTCTAGGAACGTCCCGAGGCGCTTCAGGTTTTGTATGTAGCTCGTTGGAAGTATCTTACGTAGTTTGATGTGAGGCGATCTACTTATTATATAGTAGAGACAATGGAGCATATAGGTCCACGTGGCTATAGCTTTTACATCATTGACAATTATTAATTATTAGAATGAAGAATAGGGCGAAAAAGGTGAGGGGGAGCTGCACTACTGCAGGTGTCGTGCTTATATGAAAACATGTTCGTGGATGAGTTGGCACCGAGGATCGAGATACAGTAGGTAGTATAGGTACCTGGTCAATGCGTCTGGCGGTAAGAGCTTGAGCTTCGATGGGGTAGCTCCAAGGTACTTTGCTCTTTGCTTCATCTTACATGCAACTAATAAGATGACAACCATGAAAAGTATTTAATCTAGTCTCTTCGCCCCGTCGCCATCGAGAACCTTAGTTCGCGAATATAAAGTCTTTGCTTTGGGAAACTGTCGGGACGGTTTTATCCTGTGTTTGGTTAGTTTGCGAAATTGATCTTACTTGGCCAGACTTGATGTGTGTATGGGAATAGAGGGGTCTCTTGCGAACGTCCACGTCCATGTTGTTTTGAAGAGCGTCGCAAACACATTCATACATGTCATTACTTTTATTATTCGAATCCAAGAGACTGACTGATTTATGAAGCGCGTTTTGACATCTCTCAACTAGACGTGATCTCTTCATATTTCAACTTGAGTGATAAAACCGACCATGTCTTCCCAGACTAGCACCGCCAGCTCTGTCAGCTCATTTGGAAGACCTCACAGCTTCTTTGGAAATTCAACTACTCCCTCGACTACAACCACATCAAGTCAGTCAACAGCAACGCAAAAATCAAGACTCAGAAGTTCGCCTATCAAGCCGCAGGTCAGCTTTGGAAAGGAGAACATCATCCTTCAAACGCCCAGGTTCCTCAGCACTCGTTCCAAGACAGACCCATCCACAACCCCTGCTACCCAACCACCAGCAAATTTATTCGGAGTTTCGAATTCGCAAACGCCAGCGACCAATCTCTTCGGAAGCTCGGTCAAGCCGACGAAGCCGCCTCATCACAAGAGCCTGTTTGGTAGCGCGTCCATTCAAGTAAACAAGGATGAGCCGAATC